GAGGAGGAGGAGGAGGAGGAGGAGGAGGAGGAGGAAGAAAACTGGGAGAAGTAGGACGAGTTGGAGATTGGTGGAGATAAGAAGAAAGATCAGGGTGAGTAGAAGGAAAAAGAGAAGAAGATGGTATGAAAAGGAGGAAGAAGAGGAGAAGGAACGAGATGAATTTGGAGCAGGAGAAGATGAGACAAGCGTCAGTGATGTTGAGAAAGGAAAAGAGGATGGGAAGGGGGAAGAGTACCAGGCTTCTAAGAGTATCTTTAGAGAGAAATCATAATACTTTTCTTAAAATTAAAAATTTTATCGACGAATATTTCTGTCTGTCTACTCGCGACGGTCTTCAGAAGAAGGGGAAATAGAAGGGATTCAAGAGGAGGAAGACAAAGAGGTGACGAAGGAGAAGGAGGAATAAATTGAGGCTGAAAAAGACAAGAAGAGGAGGATGAGTGCAAGAAAGACCTTAAAGAGAAAAGGGGGGGGGGAAGAAAGAGAGATGAGGAGAAAGAGAAAGAGGAGATTTGGACTAGATGGAGACTGAGGTAAATGGTACGTGAGGAAAAGAGGAGTTGAAGAAAGAAGTAAAAGAAAGAGGGGAGGGAAAGCAAGATGAGGAATGGGAACAGTTGAAGACTAAGAGAGACACGAATAATGAGGGAGATGAAGGCCAGAAAAAAGAGAAGGAGAAAGACGGAATTAACAGAAAGAGAAGGAATACATTAAAAAGAGGGTAGAGGAGAAAAGAGGAGAAGGATAAAAAGGAAAATTAAAAAAAAAGAAAAACAGTAACAGAAAATGCAGGGAACATAGACCAAAAGGAAAACTCTAGTTGGCCTTACCTTCAATGAAAAACATTCCGAACAGGTACAGGATCCATATAGAGCGTAACATCTTGACAAAATAATGCAGCGGATTACCTGGGGGTTAAAAAAAGAACGCCTTTAATTAGAGAATAAAATAACATTTTTATGGACTAGAAGATGCAGGAAATTAAGGGTTTAATTTATACATTGTACGGACCACAGATTGTCGTCATGCTTCATGATGAAGGTCATCATCTTCATCATCATCTTCATCATCATCGTCATCATCATCATTATCAGCAGCAGCAGATGCAGCAAGAGCAACAGCAGCAGCAGTATCATCATCATCATCATCATCATCATCATCATCATCATCATCATCATTATCATCATCATCATCATCATCATCATCATCATCATCATCATCAGCATCATCATCAACATCAGCATCATAAGCATCCTTACCATGATATTTCTGAAGTAATTAACGCAGTCACAAACAAAAAATTCCTCAAAAAGTAGAAGAAATACGGTAATATTTTTAATGATTTACGTTGCTTCCTACCACACATCTGTCGACTTTATCTCCCCTCCTTCTTTTTTGTGTTTGTTACTCGCTTGTAGCTCCTCTGATCTCCGGCACTTATATGACATTCTTGTTTTGCAAGTGCCGTAAAACTTTTTACTTAAACTAAGCTAAACGGTTCATCGGCTCCATCCAAATTCTTGAGGTGTCCGTCTACTTCAACAACCTCTGTCAAGGACAACCAACACGATGCCGGGCACATCAGCCCAGCAGAATGACGGAGATAGAGATCTAAGATCTTTGGGTATAGGACTGCACAATTTATGTACCGCAACTTGGTGGAATCAGGCACTTGTCAATATTTCGGGGTATAATATGGGGCTACTTGGGTAATCTTAAAGCCTGTTCATATGCTTATTTTCGATGAAAAAACTACTTGTATATTTTAGATAGAAGTCGAAACATTCGCTTTTAAAGTTTTAGGAGTTTCCCTAAGTTTCAGAGGTAGAATAAGCGGGAAAAATGTCGCCAAAGTTTGGTGACGTCTAAAGCTGAAGTGTACTTGAAAACTTCACAATTACAATGTAATATACCGCTACAATGTTCTATACCGCTGATTAACGTTTTTCAGTAAATTCCACTAAAAAATGTGAAGAAGAAAATGAAAAGGTTTCGGGTGGTGTGCCTTTGATACAATTTACAATAACGTATATTCAGTAAACATTTGACCCCAAATGAGCTTCATACCCCTGTCGCCTCATCCTCCCCCTGCCCCCTGCCCCCTCCCCTCACCCCATCCGATCCCTAAAAGTCAGTTTGTAGCAAAGTCCACTGTAAATAGTTTCAAAGCGTGACTGAGGCTGCTCTTTTTGACTCATAAAAGTTTTGTTTTTCTTGATGAACGTTAAACAACGCCATAATATTATGCACCCCACTGGCGTAAATTTTAAAGACGTACTAAAATAAATTGTCCCATGTTGTTGCTCACGTTGAAAAGACATTTTTACCTTCACAGCTCTCTTCTGATTTTCTGCTTATAATGAAAGCAAGCTGTTGAACTGTTCTTAGCCAGGGGAGCAATTTTTGTTTCAGGGGAGAGAGAGAGAG